GTGTACCTTGACCCCTCCCAAAAAAGGTAGTATGACATTAACATGACCATATATTTCATTATACTGGCATGTGCAACGTTCTCCCACACCAGGACATAGGTGTACTTAGCAATGTCAGTAAAACACGGAAGGAAAAAACAGCTTAAATGTAATCGCACAATCAGATCAATATTGCTTGCAGGGCTTCCCCTTGCAATATTTCTTTTTTCAGTGAACTCTTAACACTTTTGGGAAAGTAGCAGAGTCTTAGTAGTAATCATGCGCAATCAAGTCAATTCTGACTTACGGCAACACTTTTCAGGGTTTATCAGGTAGAGAATACACAGAAGTGCTTTACCCTTCCCTTCCACTGGGGGCGCCCTGGGACTATGCAGCTGGCCCAGGCTGTATTCAAAGGAGGCCCACTGGGGAATCGAACCTCCGACCTCTGGCTCCACAGCCAGGTACCTAAACCACCAAACTATCCAGCCAGCTCTTATAAGACTTAAACCAGAGCTGGAAAAGCTACTGTCCATTTGTTTTTTCTGAAATAAAGCTCCCCTTCTCCTTTGACATTTCTTAGTCCAACAATAACTGGAGGGGTACAAATCATCCAGTCCCAGCTTAAGGTAACCTGAAAAAACTGATCGGTTTATTTTCACACCATTCTGTGGATGAGAATCTACTTCATCTGGCACATCTCCAAGAACTGCAATTTTTCTCCTGAACAGCAAACTTGCAAGAACTTAATCCCACAGAATGACATTTGGATGTCATTTCCATAACCAAGACAGAGGGCAAAATGGTTCAATATAGTTCTCTTCTCAAATGCTGTGGAAACAAGTTATCTCAGCTCATTGGTTGGGGAAAGGGAAATGGCCATACGGGAGCCTAATTCAGTTTAAAAAACCATATCTCAGTTGCAGGTGGAGCCAAAGAAAAAGCTGCAATCAAAAATACCAACGCGTTCTAGCTTAAGACTTTTACTTCCAACAACCTTTAAATCAGCCTCCAGAAAGAGATTTCAACCTTTTGAGAATAGTAAAAAAAACCAGACAAACCAGACAATACAGTGGTGCCTCGCTTAACGACGTTAATTCGTTCCAGCGAAATCGCTGTAGGATGAAAACGTCGTAAAGCAAAAATAAAAAAGCCATTGAAACGCATTAAAACCTGGTTAATGTATTCCAATCAGCTAAGAACTCACCATCCAGCGAAGATCCTCCATGGGGCGGCCATTTTCGGGTGCCTGCGCAGCGAAAAATGGCTCCTAAACACAGCGGGGAGCCATTTTGAGCACCCGGTGGCCATTTTGAAAAGCAGACGATCAGCTGTTTTGATCGTTGGGAAACGAAAATCGGTTCCCGAAACAGGGAACCGATCACTGCGCAGTGAAATTCCCCATTCAAAATGTCGTTTTGCGACCGCAAAAACCTCTTCGTAATGCGGATTCATCGTTAAACAGAGCGCCCGTCTTGCGAGGCACCACTGTAGAGTCAAAACCACCAAATGATGGTCATGGGGACACAGACACACACATGGATTGAATTTAGTCTCAGGATTTGACCTTCCCAACTTCTAAAGTATGCGGCTTTCCTCAGTCTAAATCAACTTAACACATGGATTCATTCATCAAATTAGAACCAATCAGTTAAAAAGATAAATTTTGGTTTTCATTATACTTGTTTTATTTTTCTCTTCTTCTTCCCCAACATTGGATCAATTTTAGTTCTTCAGGAATGGCTAGTAGTCGGGCTGGGGAGCTCGTTTGAGGCATCAAGCTTAATTTCTCATCAAACCACCTTCGAATGGTGAAGGGGACTCATGCAGCAGTCATGACTGTGTGCAATTCATCTGTCGGACATTTCCCAAACCTGCCTAGAGTAGAAAGGAAACATCTCTGTGTTTTGTTTTTTCTAAATTGGCAACTACACAAGTGCTTCCACTATCCCTCAAGCCATTTAAATAAATTCACTTATATAAACACATGCACACTAATGTAAATAATTGAATAACTGAATTGAATAACAACGTTTTTGAAAGTAGCAGAGCAGGCTCAAGATGGCACTTTACTCATTCTGAACAATGTTATGTTCTTTTTCTACTTAAAAGTATTTTATATACAACACTCAATAAAATTGCACAGAAAACAACAGAAAAGAATGGAACGGTGTTGGCATTAAACGAAACACAACCTTCACATCTAAAGAAACTTAAAGAGTGTGGAGCAATTGTTTTCACTGACAAGCCTAGCTTTGGTAGTCAAATTGGGAAAAGCGCAATGCCATTGTTTCTGACAAGCAGGATAAAAATCAAGGTTTTTTTAAAATCAAATTGATTTAAATCAAGATTTAATTTTTAAAAAATGATTTTTATTTATCAAAAAAACCCTGATTTTTAAAATTTAAATTGTGAGTTCAATCATGATTTAAATCAATATTATTTAAATCAAATCCACTCTGCTCACAAGCCCAGATTTCCCTTCAAAATCTGTTCCTGGGAAAACCTATGGGGGAAGGGTGATGTTTTGGGGTGGTACAGAGGGCTACAAGCCGGAGAGAAGCAGAAAAGCAACTCCAGTCACCCTGGCATGATATTGGAGTAAGGCCATTAAGTAGAATAGCATCTGGCTCCCAAGTGGGATCCTTGTGAAAGAGAACTGTAATTTCTGGCCACAGTAATTGCTCCGAAGGATAATAATGAGGGGTTGAGCGCTCTGAGACCTGGGATCTGAAATTGGCGACTTTGTTCCAAGATGGTGAAAAGAAGAAAGATTACCCGCTTGAACTTTCAGCACTCCAGAGATAAAAGCAGGCAAGACAGCCAGACGAATGTTGGAAGGATTGAACAAAAATCGCCCAAATGTACGGTACATCAAAGAAAAACATCAAATACATGGAAAAACATCGAATATATGGAGAGAGAGAGAGAGATGCCTGTTTGGATAGCTCAGTGGTTTATGTATCCTGGCTACAGAGGCAGAGGGTAGGCGTCTGATGCCTTCTACAAGCAGAGACAGCCTGGGTGGCCTTGGGCCAGCTGGACAGTCCCAGGGTACCCCACAGAAGGAAGGATTGGTAAACCACTTCTGAGTATCCTCTACCTGGAAAACCCTGAAAAGGGTCGCCGTAAGTCAGAATTGACTTGGTGGCACATTGTTGTTGTTGTTTAATGTTATTGTTATTATGAGAGACAGAGACAGATAGAATATATATACAGTTGTGCCCCACTGGATGATTACCCCGCTCTACGACGAATCCACATTACGTTGACGTTTTTGCAATCGTTTTTGTGATTGCAAAACAATGGTTTAAATGGGGGAATTTCGCTTTGCGATGATCGGTTCCCTGCTTTGGGAACCGATTTTCGCTTTATGACAATCAGCAAACAGCTGATCGTCGGGTTTCAAAATGGCCACCAGCTGAAATAAAAAATAATCCAGTGCTTTACTTCAGTTCTTTTTCCTTCCTTCTTCTTTTCTTTTAATGTTAATATTAGGTTCAGATTATTCAGTACAAACACACACATACAGAACACATACACATACAGAATTGACTGAATGGCCATAGTCCCAAATGCCCATCTCTGGAAGCAACTCCCGCTGACATCCCTTGAACTGCCTTCCAATAAACACACTCAGGTTAAAGATTCGGGCTTGAAAGAGCAATCTTTAATATTTGAGTCTTCAGGAAACTTTGGACGAAGCCCAACACTATATGTATGGCTGGGATGTCCACATTATTCCAATCCAGGACTCTCCAGATGTGCTGGAGCACAAACATTCCTGCTGCATGGGACAGGATGAGGCGCCAGACTGGGAAAGGTAGAAGACTGATGAGATGACCGGACTGGGATCTGGGTGATTTGACTTCAGCCTACACTGAAGGATGTCTTTCTCTGGGTAAATCTGGGCCAGTCCTTTCAATTACCCTGAACCGCTTCACCTCACTGTTGTAAGCACAAAATGCTAGTAATAATGATGTGCCATCAAGTCAATTCTGACTCATGGTGTTGCCTTCCAAGGTTTCATAGACCGTGTGGCATGCCCAAGGCTATGCATACTGGTTCTTCTCCCTTCAGACTCAGTGGGGAATTGAACCCCTGACCTTTGCCCGTACCAGCTTGCTGATTGAACTAGCTCATGAACACAAAATCAAGAGGAGGAAGACTGCATGTGCCCAGAGTTAACTAGTAGAAAAATGGGATACAGAGTTAACTAGCAGAAAAATGGGATATCAATGTTATTAATAATATAGAGAGAAAGTCACAGTTTCTTTCTAGCCCCTTCTCCACATCAAGGGTGAATAAATCCTTCTTCCCATACCTTCACTGACCCAAATCCCTCCACAGTCTTTCGATAACTGTGAAGAACAAAGCGTTCTGAAATCCAATAGGATAGAGAAAAGCTTCGGCGTCAATCAAATCCAGTAATATCTTCCACCGTTCATATACGAAGATCTTACTTCATTTGCTAGCTCTTAACTCAATAAGAGAGCAGGCTCTCTAACCAAGATGGTAAACGTGCATGTGGGCTGAATGCCTTCAACTGCCATTAATAAAATAAATAAAAGTCACAACACATTGAAAACTAGCCATGTTAAAGGGTTACTTTTTTATTATTTTTAATTTGTTTTGTTTTATTTTGGTAGGAGGAACATTCAGCTGTCTGAATTTCCGAAGGGGATGGAGGAACATCAATGATTTTAAAAATAACAATAATTTAAATCACGATTCAATTTTTCAAAATTTTTAATTGTGATTTAAATCAATTTGATTTAAATCAAATCCACCCTGTTCCCAAATCTAGTCAGAACAGGTAAGCCCCATGTGCAATTTTGACACTTAAAAGCACTGATTATCAACTTGGTCACGCTCAACCTGACTTCTTTTGTATAAAGCCAACATTCACCAGATGCACTGCGTTGTTTATCCTTTAGTCTTTACCAAAAGGGTGCCCTGACTTCACAACATGAACATTGACCTGTAATCTACTGCATTTAAATTAGATCAAGAATCCTTACTGATCATTGTGGTGCCTCCAGCCAGGGACGCTTTCGTTCCTTGAAAGAAGTCATCAGCGGAGGTCATCCCTTGGTCTGGCATCTGGAAGCGAGTGTGGACATCAATTCCTCCAGGGATCACCATGCGCCCATGAGCTTCAATGGTCTTCACACCCCCTGGCACGATCAGGTTCTCTCCTATTTGCCTGAGAAGACCATTTTATGCAGGGTTAGCCAAAAATGTGGTAACTCAACTGTCAAAGCCAAACAAGTGCCCAAGGAAAGGCCTCACAGCATTCGTGAGATGTTCTATCCTTTTCAGCAACACTACTGTCTGTGTGGTCGCCTGCGCTGCAGCTGTCGTGAAACATCAGCTGCACCCTCAAGGGAAAAGAAAAAGCAGCATAAAATCAATCCTTTTGCTCCTTTGCTTAAGCTGCTTTCGTTTCTATCCTCTGACCGACATGCTTGTATCCAGGATGACATAAACCCAGAAAAAAATATATGGCATACGTTCGGCTGCCAGCTACAAAAACTGCCACAGAACAGCAAATTACCAAATTTCTGTGGGATCCACATTCTAGAAGGATATGTTCAGCACATGACATCAAAGGACAAAAATTACATCTTCAAACTCACTTACTGCAACATAAAATTTTCACGGGCTTAAGCTCACTTCGTCAGCCACATGAAATGGTCGCCTCAATTGGTCTGCATTTAATGCAGTGGGTTGTGAGCCAGAACGTCCGTATGCTACCATAAATGCATCAGCCATTAAAGCACAAGACACTTTTTTGAGTGCTTTGGCTCCATCACAGCCCTCCATCTTCTTCCTGATATGTCAGATAGTGTTCTATCAGATACCTCTGGTGCAGCACTCTCAAGCTAGGTCTCCCTGCCCTTCTTTTGTGATTGGTCACTGAGAGGTAAACACTGCCTTCATTTGCAAGTCTGATACTTTAGGCACGAAACTCAGTGGAAATACAGTATCAACTTGTCATGCTTTGCTCTCTATATTGCCTGATTTGGCCCTGAATTGCAGAGGGTCCATCCACTGAAGCCCTCCATTTGTACCCTAAACAAGCAGATACGGTAAAGAAATTTGTATTTAACTAATTTCTGTGCTGTTGCTTAGCAGAGCCTTGCTTGTTGCCCAAATAAGGATGCTCTCTTCAGATTCTAAGTGGTTTTCCATTTGACCAAGGTAGCATCTGGCTAAAATTCAGGTGACCAAGATTCAATTCCTTGTTAAAACACAGAAACTTTCAGCAGAGGAGAGCAATGGCAAACTATTCCGTCTTATATACAGTACCTTTAAAAACCCTGTTAGGGTCACCATGCATCAGAAACAGCTTGACAGCAACCAACAATGCAAGAAATCCCTAATTTAAAAATTCCTCTCCTTCTGGAAATGCTTCCAAACACAAGATTAGGGATCTCATGTTTCACACAAACCAGTCTGTCTGAAATGTACATTAAAGCGGCCCATACAGTTACTACTGAATTTCTAGGCTTTGAACAAAATTGGTAATATTTAAGTTACATTTTTTTAAAGAAAAGGAAAGAACAGAACAGTTGCATACAGCATATCATAAGCAGTTAAACATCTTGTCACCAGCATCTCTAACTTCAGAATTTAAGTTGAAGCACAGATGTGTTGAGCGCCCAGCCAAGGCAGGCCACAATTCAATCCATGTACAAACATCCCACATTCCTTTTTTTTCTAAAAGCAATTTTACTCCATGGAAGCCTTAGAGTAAGCACAGTATGTGCAGTGAACAATTCCTGCATTCTAACACAAAGAGTTATCCTATCAGATTGGATGGATACAAAGTGGACCACCTATGCTGACAGTAACCGTGCAGTTCTACACAGAAGACAAGTCACTGTGCTTATGCTCAAATACACAAAGAATTGTAATTGAAGAATGAGTTCACTTTGATAGGGGTTTTGGGATGTTTGGGGAAGAATAATGGGTCCTTCAGAATCCACCAAAGCCTCTACTCCCATTTAAACTTCTTCTGCAACCAATGCATCAGCTGTAGAGAAGGGCATGAAACACATTTTTTGTGTTGGATTGTTTTTCATCCAAATAGATGTTTGGTGCTTCCCAGTCCTGCCTCCTCCAGCAGCCGCCTACTCAGAGTGCCCAGAGGAGGTTGGGCAAGGAAACCTAGGTACTGCCTCTGAGTGGGCACCCGACAGAGGAGGCAGGGTGATGAAGCGCCAAACACCTGTTCGGCCAAAAAATAAACTAGCATGAATCATCAAACTGGTGCTTCATGTCCATCTCTAATCGACGGCCATCCAATCTACTGCAGATGATGATACCCTGATAAAGCTCCAGACACCAGCCAAAAACCAAACTAGCATGAATCATCGAACTGGTGCTTCATATCCATCTCTAATCGACAGCCATCCAATCTACTGCAGATGATGATACCAAGGATGTCCCCAATTCTCCAGACCCCTAAGTAAGAACAGAACAAAAGTATTTCTTTCCTGAAGTCATAGGAAGGGAAGAAATGGAAAGAAAGATGCCTCAGCAAGAAAGACACTGCTAGCAATTGCTTGATTGGGGAGAACAAACAGGGGCACAGCAACACATATAGTAAGCAAGCTGCTGGTTGCACACCCCCTCCTTTATTGGCCCAACCATCCGAAACAATTCACAGCATCAACAGGCCATTGCCCTTCCCTGTTCCAAGTCTAATACTGTAAGCCCAAGATTCAAAAAGTTGAAGCTGAGGAAGGGACCCAAACCAGATAGCATCTTTTCTCAGATTATTTTGAATGAATGAGGAAGTGGATGTGACATTAAAAGCAATATCCAGGTCCTATGGCTACACTAGACAAAATGCCAAGCGTCCATATGTTGAGTTTACCTCATACATAAAACTGTTTTCTGGCAAGCAACTCCATCTCTTTACTCCCTAATGTTCCCAGAAGAACAGGCAAGCATTAACAAAGACAGAAAGAAGGAAAAGACACAATAAAAGCATATGCACGGTACTTTTCTCATCCAGAAATTAAGCTAAGTATCAGCACAGGTGGTTCTGTTTGCAGAGGAAGGCATGAACACTTAAGAAAATGGCACTCAGCAGTAGGGGAACACTGCAAGATAAATGCACAGCTGGGAAGCAACGCCACTCAGTAGCAGAGCAAAGCCTTCCAAGGCAGAAGATTTTTTCAGGCAGACAGAAGGAACAGTTCTGTAATTGAGAGGATGGAGATACTGCCACTCAAAGCAGATAATGTGTGCCCTCCCCCTAGATGCTGTTCAACTCCAAATCCCATCATACCACCCCAAGAGCTCTGCTGGCTAGAACCTCAAGGACCATATACTTTCCCCAGCGCTGAAGTAGACATGACAAGGCTAGACAGATTGAAGCTCCCAGTCATGCTGGTGGGGGAACTGGGACTGGAGTTCTAAGTAGAGACTGCTGGTTATGCAACTCATCTGGTTTGTTTACTGGCTGAACCGGTGAGATACCCTGCCTCATGTCCTCCAGGCACTGCCTCTGAGTGGGCGGCTGCCCGAGGAGGCAGAGCTTTTAAGTGTCCAACACCTGTTTCGGCAGTAAACAAACCAGCACAATCTGTTGAACTAGTGGTTCATGCCTATCTCAAGTTGTACTAAAAGAGAGAGAAAAATAACTTTCCCAAGAGCTAGAAGGGACTCTATAGCTCTTTTTAACCAAGACCACGCCCATTCATTCATTTACTGGAAACAAATTTCTTAATATTTGGATAATATGCCCAGGTTTGTGAGCTTTGGACTACTACTCCCACAGCTGCCATGCCGTCTGGGGAATTCTAGGAGTTGTAGTCCAGAAACACAAATCCAGGGAAATATTTGGATAATACGCCCAGGTTTGTGAGCTTTGGACTACCACTCCCACAGCTGCCATGCCATCTGGGGAATTCTAGGAGTTGTAGTCCAGAAACACAAATCCATACACTTCTACATTCAGTCAGTATGAGGAGTTGATCTGAACTGAAATGGTTCACCGTTCCTCTGGCTTTCCCACAGATCGCTTTGGACTACCACTCCCACAGCTGCCATGCCATCTGGGGAATTCTAGGAGTTGTAGTCCAGAAACACAAATCCATACACTTCTACATTCAGTCAGTATGAGGCATTGAATTGAAATGTTTCACCGTTCCTCTGGCTTTCCCACAGATCTTCTCATTGCATTTATCAAGCTAGATCTGACGACAGGAATTTAAAAACCACAGTTCATTTCCTGTGTATTGCATGAAAAGGACAATCACAATGTGATCAACAGTTTGTTGGTTGGGTTTTAATTGGGAACACAAAGAGCATTCAGTCAGAAGCTGCATAGGGCCATCTTTCTCAATATGGACTACCATCCCCATCAACCCCAACTCACATGCTTAATAGGCAGGAATCATGGGAGAGGAAGTCCAAAACATCTGGATCTGCATTAGAGAAGACCGGCAGAGGGGTCGGGCAGAAGCTGGGCACCCACTGTCACTGCACTAATGGTCTCAACATTACTTAGTTAAGGGAGATGATGGTAGGATCCAAAGCTGGGGATGGGGACCTATGACCTCCCAGATGTTGTGATACTACAACATCCATAAAGTCTAGCCATCATTGCCAATGGTTAGGAATCATGGCTGTTAATAGTTCAAAAACCTCTGGAAGGCCAAATGCACCTCACCTCCAACTAAACACAAAGCTTCTCTTGTGTAGCCTTTCTCAACAGTCCAACCTGAAACAGCACATTGATCTTCATACGTGCAAAGGGCTATCCTATGCATGTTTACTCTGTGGCTGATATCATCTAATTTATTGAGGCTGCAGATAAGTAAGCCTTAAATGGCTTTTTTGTATGTCAAATTAGTAGTGGGTTTCCATTACCCCAAACCAACTTTTTTGTATGTCAACGTACCCTACTTAGTAGTGGGTTTCCATTACCCCAAACCACAACTGGAGAATGTACAGCCCTCCAAGACCTTGGGGAACTACATCACCCATCAGTCTATATGCTGAGGTTGACAGCAGTCCAATAACATCTGATGCCCCCCTAATCCCGCAGCCCCACTCTAATCCTTGCCTTGAACAGCAGAACAATTGTTAATATTTCCAAGAGACATCCTGTGACGAAAAAACAAAGGAACAGGATACTTACTTTATCAAGCCATCTTCCATATAGATGTCTGCATAGAAAGACTGGTCATCGTTAACTATTTTGCCGCCCTTGATCAAGAGGCGATCACTCTGAAACAAAGAGACATCAAACAATGTATGATTACTGGATGACAGCATGTGGTGGCAGATTTTTAAAAAGAAACAGAGCCCAGGGAAATGTGACTCTGAATTATTCAAAGGGTGTTTCATATAAACAAGTCAACTACTGTACTTTCAACTGAAAAGATAAAATAACACTTCAGAACCACAGACGCCTTTCATCAACACCTCTCTCCGTAAAGGAAGCCGTTAGCGGCACAGTCTTGTAAAAAAATAAAATGAGGTTACACTTACAGGGTGTGTCAACCTGTTTTATGAAGCTACATCCAAGACCAATTAAAATACAATCTTTCCAAGGCTTGGCCAAGGAAAAGCAACAAGGATCAGGGGGGAAAAATAACAGCTTTCCATTTAGCCACAAGCTTCTGCTTCCTAAAAAGACACCCGCCAAAGTTAAAGTCATCCCTTGGTTTGTTTGAAGTCGGTGGCAGTCAAGGAAACTGCCCAAAAGCCTGTTGCTATGGGACCGGCAAGACAAACAAGCCCTTTCAGTTCAATCCAGGAAAGGCTTTAACTCAGTCGAAACATTCTGCTCTCTGATGTCGTTACTGTATATTCCAATGAAAACAAGCTCACTCACTGTGATTAATTAATTAATTAAACTGAGAAAGAAGGGGGCCCAGGCAGAAAGTTTAACTGATTACATTCTACTTGGTTCTTCTCTTCTTGTAAAAAGCACTTAGATAGGTTTATACATGAGAGGAGAGAAAAGGCCTTCCCACTAGAAAGCCTGTAAGAAGGAGTTCTGTCCTACTAGGGGCCACCACTAAAAAGACTCTGCCTCTCATGCCTGCCGATTTAAAGTACACAGCAATATCTGCTGCTTATATATATATATATATATGAAAAGGACAATCACAGTGTGATCACACACACACACACACACACTTCATCTATATATATATGAAAAGGACAATCACAATGTGATCACACACACACACACACAAGCACATATATATAATCAGCCTGATTTTAATGGTGAGCAAGGGCTTATCTTCCTTTCTATATGCCCATCAAATACATGGGTAGGAAATGGAACCGTGCCCACTGGCAAAGCTTCTTCGGCATTAATGAAGGAAATTGAATGGAACCATTTTACCCTGCTCCCGGCTGCTATACAGAGACAAGACACACCAATTGAGGTTATCTCTGAAGCTGCAAATGATGAAACGGAGGCTGTCCTACTTTGGGCACATCATGAGAAGGCAGGATTCTCTGGAAAAGACAATAATGCTGGGAAAGGTGGAAGGCAGCAGGAAAAGAGGAATGCCAAATACAAGAGGGATCGACTCTCTAAAAGAAGCCACAGGCTTACGTTCATAAGAGCTGAGCAAGGCAGTTAAGGACAGGGCATTCTGAACATTGCTCATTCATAGGGTCACCATAAGTCGGAGGTGACATGACGGCGAACATCAACATCCTGATGATACCCAGCTTTCCCAACATCTATGAAGTTCCCTGACAAAGTGATGGTGAATAGTGATAACTGTACAATGGTCCCCAACCTTGAGTCTTGAGATGTTCCTGAGCTGACACTCCAGAAGCCTTCACCACTCGCTGTACTGGCCAGGATTTCTGAGAATTGTAGTCCAAGAACACCTGGGGTCCCAAAGTTGGAAACCACTGCCCTGACAAAAGATGCTTGGCTTCCTGTATCATCAACAGCACCAAAAACATTAAGCTAATGATCCTCCTATTAAATCTCACACCCACTTAAGGAAACAAGTTATGGTTTCCTGAGCCACACAGACACCCCCCACCCCGTGAGAAGTCATAACAGGTGGCATATCTGTGCTACTGCTCTTATTTATATACTGCATACTTTTGCTTTCTTGCTTGTTTGAAGTGTACAAGGGGAATTATGTTCGGGGGAAGCTCTAATAACAGCCTTTGATCATTGCTTGTGCAATGACCACTGACATGGTTAAACTTTATCCAGCCTGTACCATTCCAGATTGTTTCATACACCTGAATGCTTCCACTTAGCAAAACATTTTTTTAAAAAAAGGATGCAAGAAATGCACGTTTTGTGTAACCTAACAGATGATGGTACATTTTGTGAGTTTCCATACCATGTGGGAAAACAAGACTGGGCTTTTTAGGACACAAGAACTATTAGCCTACACGTATTCCCATGGCCTTCTCCTTTTCCTTTATCCTCCAGTTCTGCTGTCCGGACACAATACGAGCATCACAGTAACTGGTAACTCCCATCACCAACAAAAAAAGAAATGAAAAAGAAAATTATGCTATCTGCACAAGAAAAAAAGGGATCTCGTTTCCAGCTGTCATAATTATGGATCACCAATTTAAAGTAAGATCAATGTGCAGGCCTATCATTCACAAAGAGATCCCATCATCCTCACAGGTGTGTTTGGTGGGGAGACAAGAGGGGACCTTCTCTGTTGCTGCTCCCAGACTCTGGAACTCCTTCCCACTGGAAGCCAGGCTGGCCCCATCTTTGCTGTCTTTCTGCAAACAGGCAGAGAAAGACCTTTCTCTGCAGACAGCCTTTACCTAGGCTGTCTGAGACGGGTTGTTAAATGGCGTGATGTATCTTGTCACTTTGAATCTGTTTTTAGTGTTCATTTTGTTTACTATTTTTTATGTAGTGTTTGCTTCTGTTTTTCAAACATTGCCATACTTACTCTTCTTTCACTTTTAAATATTGTCTGTTACTGATGCAAAACACCTGGGGTCCTTTAAGGAGAAAGCTGGGGCAAAAGTATTTGGAATAAATAATAAATAAATAAAAATCAGTTTCTCCAGTGATTTGAGAAAGACAAAAATCCCCTTCCTGCTTGAACAGAAACAGGGAAGCGGACATGTTAATAATGTAAATGCCTGTTACTGAGAGCCATCGAACCAAACCGATAAGCTGCACAATTTCAGGTCATACTGTTAACATCCACAACAAGGCAGTGCAACGAGCATCCCATAGTTGTGCTGAATGTAAACAGCTTTCACAGCCCAATGCTGTGCACGTCTCCTTCCAGTCTGCCATTACCCAAGCCAATCTGTTGGGCTAATAATGAACAGCCACATCTTTCGGGTGTCCAAGAACACTAACTGTCCGTTGTACTGTTTTTCACTCCAACATATTTTGGGTCCATCAGGGTTCCCTGTCCCACCCAAAAAAGTTGTATTGTTGTTTTTTTCCAAAAAAGGATGAGCAGCAGTCCATGGATACTGAAAAGGGTGGTTGTTCCCAAACCCTCTGCAGCTGCACATCCATCTGATGGTTGTAGGACAGGATCTGCCCCCTAATCAAGCACATCAGTAATGACAAGAATTGGATGTTATTCTGGCTGTGGAGTACCTGCTTAATGAGTGAAGTCACATCAAAGAGTGGAAGGCCATGTGATTGACTTTCATCCGTCACATGGACCTTCTTCCATTACAAGGGAAGAGAATTATCCATCAAAAGGGAAAGAATTATCCTATTCTTTCATTGTAGTGGAAATGCTGAGAGCAGGACCTGCACTATCAGAAACTGTTCATCCTGTTGAGAATTTTAGATATAACTCCAGCCACACAGAGAAGAGTGAAAGTAGTGATAAGAACCTCTTGGCTTTCTCGATGTTCTGAACTTGAGGTTCTAGGTGCCCCAATCCCGACCCGATGGTACAAGACGGTTGGAATAACAATCCAGAACCTTTCAAAGACCAAAAATGATGCACGCTGGTTTAAAGGGTTCCCAGGCCTGTGTTGCCCACAAATAACGTTGAAAGGAAAATGAAGCAAGGATGCTCTTCACCGTCTCCATGATCACCCTGGGAATTGGGATCAGTTTCTTCAGACAGATGCACCCCTGGTTTTGCCACTGAATGTAATCCTTGCTCAATGTCTCTGGTGTGGTGTTTTGGAAATATACCCAATGAACAGCAGAATGTCTTGCTACTTGGAACATCTCGCAGGCTTAACAGTGGACTGAGAATCTTCTCCAGAGAGTCCTGCGCTGAGCTTGCCAGGGACAAACGAGCAAGTGGATTTGTGGCTCTTTGTCCATGAATCAAAAAGAAATCCATCAACACATGTGGGTTTAGGGCAGGATTTTTTTTCTCTCTCTCTCTCTCCCTGTGATGGTGCAATGCTTGCCTACATAGCACAGAAACAGTGGGACAAGGGCCTCAATTACCTGTAAAGCTACTTCTGAGGACCTCTAACCCTGCCAATCGGAACATTCTGGAAGCAGTAGTATCAGAATTAGCTTTTGCAACTGATGCCCAGGTGACAAAGGTTGGAGACATGAGCAAGGAGGAGCATGGAGCTGACTTCAGTAACCAACTAGGCACAACCTCCCACCTTTTTTCCCCAGCTGTTCTAGGACTTGTGAATTATGCCCTAAGCAGACTAGCAACGACCCTCTTGAAAAAGTGAAAGGGGGCTTCATATGCTCTCTAGCTAGACGAGACACAGTGAATTAACAGGCCCTTGTAAAGTCACCATTTATCTCTGTTCCATTGATTCAATGGATCTCCTCCATTTAGGGCTTCCAACTGTAATTAGATCTAACAGCCTGACACCATGCAAGAAATCTAGAACTCTGCCATTCCCCATAGGCTACTGATCAACATGTCTGAGGATAACAAGTAAAGAAATGTATTGGTTGTTCTGGTTTTTTCGGGCTCTTTGGCCGTGTTCTGAAGGTTGTTCTTCCTGACGTTTCGCCAATCTCTGTGGCCGGCATCTTCAGAGGACAGCAACCTGAAGATGCCGGCCACAGAGACTGGCAAAACATCAGGAAGAACAACCTTCAGAACACGGCCAAAGAGCCCGAAAAACCCAGAACAACCATTAGATCCCGGCCATGAAAGCCTTCGCGAATATAAAGAAATATATTACTTCCCACCGTACATGCCAAGTAATGGGTGGCACCTGTCAAACTATCTTCTCTTTCATGCTTCTTCTCACAATCAGCAAAAATCTTTAGACCTGATTAGACATGGGCACTCTGTATTCGTTTCCCT